ATGAAAAGCGTACTGCAGAATATCCCGCTCAGCTCTGTGTTGAATAGGTCCTTCTATTTATTTATTTACTATCTTACTTTTTCTATTCATTCTACTTCGAAATACGTTTGGTTTCGGTTCAAAAATAACCTACTTGTTGTACAGGCAGGACCGCTCGTTCCATTGTTACAAACACAGTGTTCCGGAGCACATGTATAATAGTACTCGTCGCCGAAGAAATACCCTGCGTATTCTTCTACAGGCTGAGAACAAACACCGAAGTTCTCGCATCCATGAGGTGGATATGTAGGATTTTCGATATATGTTTGTTGATGTGATAGTTGAGCGATCAGCACCAAAGCGAAAATTATCCTCATTCTACCTTCATATGTAGGAACCTTGCTAAAAAACCTGTGACTATCATAAATTAACAGTAACACGTAAGTGAAAATAGGTCATTTTACGCTTTTGCACGGGAAGTGATTATCGTGGAGTATTTGATAACAGTGGGTAGAGAAAGCTCAAGTAAGCTAGCAAAATGAGGGCCCACATAAATGAATGAAATGAAATGGAGTGGAGTGAATGGCTTGAACTCACTATGAGCGCACCGCAATCTAGTCAGCATTCTTTTTTTTCTCCTGAGGAACATGAAAATAAATACGAAGCATTCATGTGCACAGCGACACTCCTCTTACGGTAGATGTGACATACAGGGGAGGGGGCAAAAAAAAGAGTCACTTTGCCCATGGCGCACATCATCAAACTTTTCGTCGCACAGGATGCCGTTGTTAATGAATGTTTTACGGCAGAATATTCCTTAGGTGTCCCCATAAGCAGAAGCAGGCCCTCCTTCACTGCCCCCACCGTCTTCAGAAATATGACGTCATCTGCCGTCACCGTCGAGCTCAACGAGGCTTACCCTAATCGCTCCGGCCTGAAGCTGCACACATGTGATTTCTTAAAGGAATCCTTCGCGGAAAATTCTTGCATTCTTTCTAACATGAATGTGTCAGTTGTGATCACTGGAAACAGCACACAAAGTTTCACGCATGAAGATTCGGTTTCCGAAGAGAAACAAACGTACAAAAACTACACTCTATGGACAATCGAAGGGGCGCGGAGCCAAAGGCGAGGCATGGAAAGAAGTCCGCCTTGGGCGGCTACGTATCAGGCGACGCAATGAAAGAATCGGGTTAAAGCGCGCGATTTTGGAGAGTAGAGACAAATCGATCGATAGAATAGGATGCAGTAGAAGTGTGAGATGTGAATGCAATAAGTCAAAAGGCCAGAAAGAGTTTCTAGTGAAGGCACTCCAAGAACCAAGTGGAAGCATCCCCGTCGCCAGCATTTGTGAAAGACGTCCGTGGGCAATTTGAACGCGTAGCAGCCCTTTCGATTTTTCGAATTTTTCAAAACAAAAGCAATTTTCTGTTCTTTTCATTCTTATCGTGGATAATGAGTCTCAAGCCAGTGATTTATGGCTGAAATAGAATCATGATTTTTTTTCCGTGAAGGATTTCCATAAATGGTGAATAGCTTCTCAGAGAACTAGCTGTGAAATGCAAGACCGCTTTTGACCAGCGTTTCAGAGACGTCGTAATGGTCTATGGTACCTCGACGACCTCGTTGAGCTCGTACCGTGAACCATGTTTCCGTGGGAAAATCTTCTGATGTCGTCGGTGTAGAAGGCTGTCATGTAATTTTTGATAGACTTAGAATGTGCTTTAATATGCAATTGGGCTCATTTGGTTTGGTTTCGCAGTTCGTAATTAATTCCGTTTTGAATGTGAAAGAGGGTGACTCTTTTTTTTTCCCCCCCCCCCTGTATACTATGGGCAGTGCCGAAATAAAACGAGGAAAGATGTGCGGCAAGTCATATTAGGAAAACCCAATCACGAAAAGTCTCTTAATGGGTGACAGTTACTCCAAAGTTTCGAAACATTGATCTAAGACAACGCAGGAAGTAGAAAAAAAATGAGTGGAGATGGGACATGTTTGTTATAATCACCAAGCGCTGTTACCCAAAGTATAGCCCCACTGTGGGTGGAGTGCTCCCTCAAGTCGGCTGTTCTGCAGCAAAATGTCACTATTCGGTTCTACTAGAACTACCACGAAATCTGAGAAAACTGGGCACAAAATCTAGCGGTGGTCGGAATATACGCAGCATGTGGAGAATACATCAAAATGTGCAGGGCTAAAATTAGAAGTGTGCATAATAACCAACCGCAGGAGGGAAAGCTCAAAAGGCGTGATAATTCCATAAAAACCACAAAAAGGCTAAAAAAAAATGCTGTGTAGCAGCGGTTTAGGAATGGTGGTATTGCACACGAGAAGCTTTGTCTTCAATCTCTCGTTTTTCAGTTGTTGCAGATTCGTAGCTCCTATTGTCTTCCACTTAGCAACAGAGCTTCTTCCTCATAGTGACCAATTTCCGAACGCACTTGAATGACGCACACACGAAAAACTTTTCAGCTCTTTCATCATTTTCACATATTAAACATTCTGCTAGTGTAAACATTCGAAAGAAGCGCGATTGGGAGGGTTTCTCAATTGATTCTCTATGATCTTCGTAGTAACAAGGATTTATCGTGGAAGCTTACTTTTGGGCTGAAAGGCATACTTAGCGCACACAAAGCTTGTGCTATACTAGTAGGTTGTTCAGAAACTAATGTCAGTTTTTGACTCTTATTATTTTCAAAACGACATATCTCAGCTTAGCGTGAATCATCCAGAAGCCAGTGGACTGCACACGTTTCGCAAATGAGGTACAACTAAAATTGTTCCTCTTGCATGGAAATCTGGAGTCTGAAGCCGAGAACTCGCTGCTCAGTCCACCTGTGCTTGACCACTAAAGCATTTCAATAATAACCTGTCCAGCCTCATCAAGAAGCGGTAGTCTGTGAGGTAGATGTCCGCTTCTGTTGGGTAAAGCAGAGCTTCGTATCCTATTTGTTTTGGAACGTCAGGTGTGCGACGTGTTACCGGACGTTGTTGTGGGGATGGATGAGTCCCTCGCTTTCGACTGTGGATAAGTTCAGTAGTTGAAATTTCTTCTAGATTTGGCCCAACTTGTGCGGCTATTGTTTCTTTGTGTTTCGAAAAGCTGTCGTGAATCAGTCCTGAAGGTGACCACCATACACTCAGCATGACCTTCAGTTGGCACATTTTTGATTAGGAACATGATGTCCTACCAGTGCGGCCGAACCATGCGAAAATGAAAGTTTTCGCTCATCGCGCCGAGTCGATGGAGTGAACGTGCGGAAACGCTGCCTTCGTAACGGGGTATGGTGCTTCTTCAATCGTTTACATGATGCGAAGACGTGAGTCCAGTGATTTTTTTTCCGCAATAGAATAAGGACTGAGATGTTTTTTCCACCTCAAGATGATTTGTCGATGAAAAGTAAGTCTTAGGCTTACTGGTCGAGATAGTGGACAGTCCATTTTTCTTGAACTTGAGTCAAAAGCTCAGATTTCGCTGGAAAACTTGCACTTCAGACTAGTTCGACACTCTTGAAGCAACTGTTGGATTAGGCGCCAAGAGTAGTCTCTTGTAAAATGAGAAACAGGAGTGGCCAAGCATAGAAGCCGCAGCTGAAAAGTGCACGGCAAGGTTGCTAAGACCCTGCCCAGTACCTCCCGCGGCATACGTCGTGTTTTGCGCTCTCCCATGTGCGACCTGCTCGCTAGCGTTTTCCTCGCCTCGCAGTCTGTGTCTCGCCGCCATAGGCTGGTGTCAGAGTCCGCGATCCGTCGCAGGTTTCGCTGATTTTCGCGATTTTCGCGATTTGCGCGATTCACGCGACGGGTCACGGAAATCACAAGTGCCCGATCAATACTGCAAGGTGTTCTCCAATCCTGCCGCCACTTCTGCTTGATAGTGATGGCTGAATGACGACTGCTCATGATTCCACTTGTTTCATATTCAGTGTTTCAAATGGGGCACTTGCAATTTTTGCGATCCGTCGCAAAACGCGCAAATCGCGAAAATCAGCGAAACCTGCGACGGATCGCGGACTCTGACACCAGCATACCGCGGCCAACCTCACAAAAGAAATTTCAGTGCTTTCTGTGATGATTTTTGCTTTTGTCTCCATTCTTCCTCACACTTCTTGCCTAATTTTCGAACAAAATAACACACCAGCTCGATCCCGACCCGTGCCTTGAACAGTAAAATCAAGCTGTCTGGTGCAAAAACGCTCCTGCCGCATGAGATACGAACGACGAGAAGTGGTGGGCAAATTGGGCTAGAACTTGTTCGGAGCTACTCTCAGACTCTTTACAGATAACAGAATAACATCATTAAGAAGTAACGTTTAGGTTCCTTTCAACCATATGGCTGATTACAGCAAAGGAGCAAATAGTGCAAGCAACCGACCTCAACCTCAACTCATGGGCCAAAGCCCTATAAACTGGCGGTAGCTCACCACTCCCTTGCTTACCGCTACGTTTATGGGGGAGGGGAAAGCACAACATGGGGTCACTCCTTTTGGTTTTCCGGAATAAGATGAGTTCAACGCTTCCAAGAACGTATCGATCTGCATTACAGCAAAAGACCTACTTACTTCACTTTCATGATGTGACCTAAATGACTCACCCTGTTTTTCGTCTTCCACACTTCAGCATATAAAGCTTCAACAATAAATTAAAGGTAGAACTTATTTTATTCAGAAAGTATACAAAGTATATTTGGTATGCACAAAAATGAAACACATTCATCGTAGATCACAACTGTAACAAATGTCACTTTGAGTAACAAATCAAGTGAGTTTACACGTACAATCACTTTTATAATATTTAGCTTTATTTTTCTGCTCCTTAGCTGTTTGAGCTGCTGCTGCTCCGGATGACCGGCTATCGCTACACAAGACAGCGACATCGCTCGCCCCTTCTTCTTGTCCCTCAATTATGTTCACGGAACATAAGGAAGTAAGCCTGGAGCCTTGCGCAAGGAGTGCATCATCGCGCAGAAATCTCAGCGAAGTAGTCGGTACCCGCCGCTATTTCCGTCACCGTCGTCTGCGCTGCCATGGAGAATGACGTCCAAGGTAGAGGCCTTAAACTTGGGTAGCCAACTTGGTAACTTGGGTAATGTGTTAAATATCCAAGCCTGAATCGTCTACCTAAACACTATTTCCCAGGGGAGGTAGCGCAGACGACGGCTACAGCTGTGGCGACGGCGACGACGACCCTGACGGCAGTGGTGGCGGTGGCCGATTAGTTGGCTGAGACTCGTGCGGAATCATGCGCTCTATCGGTGGAGGACTGCAGGTTAACCTCCTCATTCCGACGTAACATGAAGAAGGTGATAGAGGAGCGCTGACCTGTCTCAGCAGCTAGCCGGTCGCGGTCAGCCGGGGCACCAACAGCGCAGCACCCCAAGAAGCGGTGAAAGCGCCTAATCGGTCCGACATCAAGTGGTTGAAGCAGCCCAAGGAGCGGAAAAGTTGCTTCTGTATTAAAACTAGACGGACTATCAATCAATAAACATAAAGCGTAAATGAAATAATGGAAGTGGTTACAGGGTTAACAATGTGAGCGTCAAGTTATAAGTATTGGCTGCACTGCTTTTTAGTGTTTACAATAAAAACCTAACAAGGGGAAATTTCCCATCTAGAAAAACGTTTTCTGAGAGCTCGGCGATTCCAACTTTTTCAACATCCTACTTTCTCCATGGTATGACAAATGGAACTCGCACCTCGTCTGCATCCAAGCCTCACCATCGCTGAAGAAAAGAAGTAATACCCACAATACCATCTTGTGAGACATCGAGTAACGAGATACAATGTGCCGGTTGAAAGATCCATGAATTCAGGAAAGAACATGAACATGGAAAGCAATATAGCAAAAAACTACAAACGCGTGAAGACTGCAAAAAAGACGCTTTCAAATGCGGAGGAACGGCATCCCACTGAAAGGTCTAGGTGGCTAGTGGTGCAAGGATGAAAAAAACATGAAAAACGGCACATAATCCGAGAGAAGTGACTGACTTTTTTTTACCAGTCATTTCATCATTGATGCGAAGCTCATCAATACTACCCTCTTCAACGATAACGCTCTCTCTTTCTCTCTCTGATAAACGGTTCGATAGAGACGGAGAGGGGTTCCCTATTGGCGGCGTTAACACATTGACGACCGCGCGCGTTTTGGCTTTTTTGGCCGTGTGGGACCGGGCCGATTTTGCGAGTGCGACCGCCGCACCTCGGATCCGTGAATTTTTATTGATAACTTTTTAAAGCACCAGTGGTACAAAAACATCTCAGTAACAGTCAATGCGTAGAAGGTAATAGAGTATATAGTGACGAAGTTCCGATTAAAGAACATGTAATGGTAATGAAAAAGGAAACTTTAGTCATTTTATCTGTAGTGGATGCCAAAAGCTCTTTTGATGTGGTTATACCAAGTGAAACATGTATTTTTCTGTCTCTTTAGATTTGCATTTACTTTCACTACCTTTTTTATTGACGTGTTCATGAGAATAGCATGAAAACTATTAATGAACCAAGCCGCCGGTTTCGGTGAGCTTGGAAAACTTCTTCTAAACTGGAGCATATTTGAACAAACAATGACCTATGTTCAATAATGTTATGTTCTAATCCATAGAAGAGAGACAAACAATTCGGGAAAAAGCTGCGCATGCCCTAGAAAAAGGGATGATAAGGGTGAGACGCGGTAACGCGTCTCAATGTCCAACGAGGTGCGCAAAGTGAGACGCGTTACCGCGTCTCAATGTCGTCAATGTGTTAAGGGCGCGAGCGAGCGGGCACGAACCTGTAGACACTTCGTATAATGTATGCTGCCAAACACCTAATCTACTGCACTCTTAGGTGAGGGCGCCTGCCTTTCCCTTTTGACGTCCACATTATCGCGGAATCCTCTTTTGAAGGTATGAAAGAACGCAAGGCGGCTGTAGTAGTTTACGTGGACAAGAATGTTCAGATAACACTACAAAACGCTGCATGTGAGTCCAGTGTAATGCGCAGCGAAACGGAGGTTAAACGTTGTATGACACGGAAAATAACTGAGCTCCTCATAACGAAGATTATTTAACAACCCAGTTTGAGCTTATTTCATAAGAATCTATTGAAAAAATGACTGAATAATAGAAAAAAAAAACTTCACAAATTTAACCTACCACTGCATCGGAAGAACTGATCCATTTTTCGTCACGACGATAGCTTTTTTCGCTTGTCCAATGAAAAGCGGTGAAGCCAGGCCAACCTAATTTTAGTTTTTAGTCAAATTCACACAAATGTGCTATGTGAAAATCGAAGACCATTGCAATCACGCTATTTTATTCAGGTGTCCCACAAATACTGCACCACATTTTGAGCTTCAATTCAATTTTTATGGGTGTGTATGGTCGTTTCGCCAAAGTAGACACATCTTCACTTCCTCTAACACGTTGACGACAAGCTGACGCGCATGCGCGTCAAGAATTTTGCACCGCATTGGACATCTTGACGCGCATGCGCGTCAAGATGTTTGTACGCATTTTTTCCGCACATGAATGACTTTTTACAAGATGTTTTGCTACTTTTCTATAGACTACACTTTAACATAACTATAAACGGCATGGTCCATTTAGGGGTAGAATATGCTCCAGTTGAACAAAGTTTTTTGAACCTCTATAATTCCAATTTAGATCAATCTTCGATTTTTATTTTGAAGTTGGCAAGCAAATAAAAACGGAAGATAATCGTACAACAATGAAATACAATAATGTTACGGAGTTACGAACCTATGGGTGGCACGATTTGTGTTTTTTATTGAAACAACCGATACAAAAGAACTTTTTACACCTACTGCAGCGCGTATTGACCCTTTTCGCTTTCTGAGCAGCCGCACGGTATCCCTGTTCCTTAGACATAGATGCATAACATTCTGAACACCTTCTCCTGTTGACTCCTTTCGAACCCTTAGCTATTTCTTCCAACACATGTCGCGTGGGAATCGACTGACTCGGCGTGTATTCACGCTCAACCTTGAGCAGTGACTCCACCACTTCCAATTTGAAGTCGTTCAACCGAATGTTTTTGATCACATCCTTGTATAGTTTCCACGCGTTGACCATTGCTACTTGTGTGATCAAGTGGAAGAAAATCCTTTTGTACCATTTTGTTGTTTTGCGTACAAATGGCGTATATGACGCCATTTGATCGGACAAGTCGACAAATGCCTTCATCTCGTTGTAGCTTTCCTACTACTTTTGGCTTTTTAGACAATCCAATAGAGGCGTCATGTTTCGTAGAGATCATGTATAAATCCCTTTTGGCTCTCCACTTCAGCACCAAGATCCCATTTCGTTTCTGTTTGTAACATATCTGGTCCCTTTTCAGTTTCCTGTCCTTGATTTCATTTGGAATTCCCCTTCTATTTCTCCTCAAAGTTCCAACAAGATGAGTTTTTCTTGAGATCAACTTTTCGGCTAGCCCAATACTTGGAGTAGAAATTGTCTGTGCACAAAGTGTGCCCTTCATCAAGGAAACCATCCAGTAGCTCCAATACCACTTTATCAGCGAGTGGCTCGTCTCTTGGATGGATCCTTGCCAGCATAGATCTTGATCCTCACTGTATATCCGCCTTTTCCACACAACTTGAATAATTTGGTGCCATATTTATGCCTCTTAGCAGGGAGATATTGTTTAAAAACTATCCTCCCTCGGAATGGAACGAGGGACTCATCGATGCATGCTTCTTTCCCGAGTGAATAACACTTCCCGGATACCTCGTTGAACAACTGCACGAAATGCTTGACTTTGTACAATCGGTTTCCGTCTGAACTGTCGTTATCTGCTAGGTGAAGATGCCTCAGAAGTTCTTCGAATCTGGTCCTTGTCATGATTTTCGTAGCAACAGCGCCGCCAAGACCAAGTCGCGAGCTCCAGTAATCTCTTAGGTTCGGCAATTTGACTAATCCCATTTGTAGGCATAAACCAATGAAGCTTTTGATTTCATCCGCATTGGTTTCTTGGAACTCCGTACTCTGCTGGTTGCCGTAGTGGTTAGTTAGTTTCCTTCACAATAAGATCTAGAATCCTCTTATCAATAATTCAATGAAAGGTAACTCTCGCTCGGAGCCAACGACTTTGTAGACTATATCTTTTGGGCCAGAATCACCAACAAAAATCCAGGGATCATGAGAAGAAACATCGCTGGACTATGATGAAACGCTTTCGCTGTCAAACTCCTCATCATCCGATTCATCTGATTCTATACTCTGCACCAAATCGTCCACTCCTTCAATTCTTCCCTGTTCTTCATCGTCCGATGTGTTTAGTAGTGTATCAAAATCCAGTGTATCGTCAGTATCATTATCAATTACGACCATGTTTGGCGCCTGAATTAGCGTTTGCTTGGACTGAACTTCTGCGAAGCTTAACAGTTTTTCATACCTTTTCTGAGATAGATGAATCAGTTGGTTGAATTGCGGAACTATCTCGTTTTTGGTCGGCGTTATGAAAAGTTAGGGGTGCCACGACGCAGCACACGACTTGTCTGAGCCCTCTCAACGAGATGATGTAACCATGCGCATTCCAGCTTTCCACGCATATCATATGAATCGTAGTATACTCCTTTCCCCCCATTCCCGGACTGGCTCAGATCATCCTCTGGCACTGATGTCATCTCTATATCGCTGAGAGGGTGCAGACAAGCAGCGCGAATCTTCGCTGAAAGCCCCTTACCCCTGCTACCATTATAACCTTGCTTTGGTACTTTCCAGTCTTCACTTCCAAAAAACGCACCTCGTGGGACAAGCTGACGCGCTTGCGCGTCAGCAAATCGCGCCCGCCAAATCGCCCATGTCCCATGCGGCGGAAAAAGCCAAAACCTGCGCCGGATGAAGGCTGACGCGCATGCGCGTCAGAAATTTTGCACCGCATCGGACATTCTGACGCGCATGCGCGTCAGAACTATGTCATTCATTTTTATTGTGCTTGCGCTCCTTCTTCTCGAGTTTTTTGTATTCATTCTATAGATAATACATTAGCATAACTATAAACCACATGGCAGCCAGAGTGGTCAAATATCCCTTGATTTAGCAAAGATTTTCTGAACGCACAAAACTTTCATTTCAATTCTTTCCTAGTATTCCTTTCACTGTCGTAAACATTCATATGAAAGATTGTAGAAGCAGTTAATACAAAACTCTGTGAGTTTCAAGATATTTGTATTTGATGGAAAAAGTATAAATGCTTTTAACTTCATTCGCAGCGAAAGTGATGTTTTTGCTTCTTCGTGGTCATTATGCGTTCTTCTAAACAAAAATCTACTGCTATTTATATAGTTAACCTTTATGCTTTCATCCTTGCCGAAATAATTCTATGAGATTCAAGTTGTTGTGCATTTTAAACAAAAAATAAGCGGAAGTAAGGTGAGGACGGCGCGCTCGCAAAATCGCTCCTGTCCCACGCGGTGCAAAATGCCAAAACACGCGATGTCGTCAACGTGTTAACCTCTTTTTTTTTACTTATGCACTCACACTCACCATGACAACAACAGGGTGGTTTAGTTCTGATAGAACGACCGAGAGCTAAAAAAATCAAAATATCTCTAAAATAAGCCTAGCTCGAAATGTTCCTTCATATATTGGTTGTGTGAGCAACCTTGCTTGAGAGTTGCACCTACTTGAGGTCGTGCTCTCATACAGCCAAGTCGGATATTTGATGATAACATCGCAGTTCTTTAAATCTTAATCACCCGCGGTCTACTGAACACTAAGGAGAAGCCAATAAGAACAGTTCCTTTGCCAACGCTCCGTAAGTTCCGGCACCTTGAAGCTCATGAAAAGCATGAAGAAGCGAATCGACAGAATCGCTATATCCGGCTTGGTTCGAAAAAGGTGACCAGAACGCTGGAGTTTTCAAACACAACCATGCGGAGAGTGGTCATGTAACAACTGCTCACAGTCCCTTATAAGCATAAACACCACGGCTCGATCAAACCATAAGGGCACAGCAACAAAAAGTGTAAAAAGTTTAGGCCTGGGGCCGGGAAACTTCGAGGGTGCCCACATGAGGTCCTGGGGAACCCCAATTGAAATGAAAGGAATATTCCACAAGCAGCAGCCAATCTTTATCATGGTCGGAGCAGGGTCCCAATCACCCATCGCTCACCATCTTTGTCTGTTGAAAAGCGATAAAACTCGTATCAAACCTAGCCAACGATATTTCAGCGCATCCTCTGTTACTGTGGTGTTTAATCTTTGTAATGAAAAGTTCTTCCCAGCAGGAAGTAGCTTCTGCACACAAAAACTGTTCTGGATTCGTCTTACGTCACTCTTCCCAATTTCCCATCTTCAAACGAATGGCTACCATATCTTCGATTTCAACCTGTTCGACCATCACATAAGACTACGCTAGGGACGGAGTCAGCACGAGACAATGCTTCTATAATAAGGAGCTGGAGCATTTTCTCCCAAAAGTTTCAGAGAATACCCCAGGATGTCATGCGGGCCATAATATTTATAAATGATTTCGGAGCAGCAGGGAATATACTCACAGCGACAGATGGACATATCAAACAAATGCTATTCCTTCCGATACGTAAATATCTGACTAGAAATTGCGTATAATCATTTGAAGATACATTCTTCTTGAGAGGAGGTATAAGCTACCGTGGTGCAATATTTAATGGACACTGAGAATCACAAACTTGCTGTATCGGGGTGTACATATGTCGATAACTTTGTATATATGATGCTCTGTGCCGTGCGCCTGCCATACCAGAGGGAGTATTAAGCCATACTGGGATGAGCCATGCTCGCAGTCAATATTTCGTCATGTCATGACTGCGATAAGACCTTCTAGCAGGGTACAACGGTCGAGGAATTCCTCGACTATGGCGTAGTGCCGAGAGTGAATGTGCGTGCAGAGAGCACAGACGGCTCGCGCACGGCGAGTGTGAATGACGGTGTGGGAGAGCCTACGTGACCAGCCGAAAATCATCAGCAAGCTGTTGAGGAGTCCTCGATTGATATTCACCCTACCTTCAACTATATAAGATACCCTTTCTGTGCACACACGTCGCTCTCTAATGGCAATCATCTGAGAAGCAGAAAATAGCATAGTAGAAGGCGCAAAGCACGCGATAACTCTTTTCGGAGCCAAAACTGCAACTGGATTAATGCAGGAGAAAGGTGAGCGAGACACGAGAGATCCTCATTTGAGCTAATATGAAAGATGAGTCACAGCAATATGCTCGAGAACCCATGATCGATTTTTGTGGTGCTGCTTCGTCCGTTATTTTGAGGCTGAAACAAGTTTTACATTTGCCCATTATTTTAAAGGAATCTTCCACGGAAAAAGCTCCGCCTCCATTACCACAGAAAAACGATACCTTAGGCCCCTAGCCTCATGAGCATAGCAAAAAGAACGGAACATAAGCGTTAGTTTCGATAATACTAATCCTACACACAATAAGATTCCTTTAAGGTATCGTTTTCTGTGGTAACGAAGGCGGAGCTTTTCGTGGAAGATTCCTTTAAAGATATCGGCGAAGAAAAACTCATAGCTAATATAGAAATCGAAAAGAAAGCAATTATCATCGCCTGCGCATCGCAGGCGATGATAGCAATGGAAGCATACGAACTTGCACTCCAGCGCCCCAATATTGAATGTTGAGAAATACGAGACCTTCGATCCCTGGCAGTTCAACTAATCTGAAAAGCAGTATAACATTTGTGAAAAACGAAACACAGTAGTAAAAACGAAGGGACTAACTTGTCATCTAAATAGAGTGAAATATTATCTCGCAATCCTTTGCAGGTTCGGGTAAACACATCCTTGGTACCAAATGAGAAGAAAAGAAATTTATTGAGAAGCCTGAAACACAACACATTCCGTGGGTGTGAATGAATTGTTTTAAGTCACCAGAAAGAAGAGATCACACTGCAATCTCCAACAGAGTGATTCCTAGTCTGAAGAATTGCTGAAGAGACGGTTGAATTAGAAGGAAATAGAAATAGCAAAAGAATAAAGTAAGCTGAGTAAAAAGTAGAAGCACTATATAGAGAAAAAGTAGGTTTTAAAAAGTAGAGGCTTTAGAGAAAGTAGGTTTTAAAAAGTAGAGGTTTTGAAAACCAGAAGTAGAAGTATAACAGAGTGAAAAGATACCAAGAATAAGTCTACTACCTGCTACTCAATACTTTCGGAATCGATTTTCTTGTAGTCTGCATACCAAAAGTGACGCTGGCATCCACTCCTACCGACAGGTAGTTACTCATTTTCTTATTAGTTATGACCGTTCGTCTTCCAAACTAAAACAACACATCAACTATCAGTGCTGATCTGCCAAAAATAGCAAGTATTAGAGGGGTGCAAAATATGAGGGCGAACTGAATAAACTCACCTGGTTTTTCGATTTGATCATCACATTCCATCTGTCCAGCTTCTGGATATCAGCGGCATAGACATCATTCAGGTACTGAAAGCAGAACAAAGAATAAAATCTAGGAAACTGTGTGGTGGGCGATGTATTTATTGTACCTCGAGAATATTGAAATCACCATTCGTTCCGCTACCCCATCCTAACACACGTGACAAATCATTGCCTGTTCCAAGTGGAAGGACAGCCATCTTAAAAGTTGCTTTGTGAGCACAACGACATGAAAAATCAAAGAAAACATCTCTCCATTAGGCCCTGTTGAAAATAACGACAAGTTTTGTGGAAAGTCTTCCAGCCCTCGACTAACGGACGTTTTAACCTACACTGCAGCTTCAAAAAACTTTCAGTAAAAAATATTCATTTCTCAATATACGTACCGGCGGTTTTCGGCAGAACTGCTCAAGCGTCTCTAACACATTGGATATTGTTCCATCACCACCGGCAACGACAAGTCTTACATCAACCTAGGAGAGATGATATAGTAGCGAAAACAAACATCAGATGGGTTCACAACAATTATTGGCCAACTACCTCGGGATGATCATCGATCCATTGCAAGGCAGGTTTCAGGTTTTCTTTCTGCACGTCGATAACCTGGGAAGGAATATTACGGGAAGTCCGAACAAAAACGAAACAGACGAGTCAAAATTATTTTATATGAAATGTTGTCAAGATAAGCTTTGCAGAGTGGGCACACCTACCTGCCTTGGATGGAGATGACGGAGGAAGTTTCTATACACAACTTTACCCGTACACGAGCCACAAACCGTATTCGTTAGTGCAATAATAGGTTTAAAGCCTTCCTGTTCGGGTAGAATCAGCCGATCAATAACCTGAAAAACATTCAGTGAATATGAATTCAAAACGGTGAAGAAAAACTTCTCTACCAATTTTCTCCCTGCTTTTCTTGCAACGACGCTGTTTGGAGGGAAAGTGAATTTGCGATACTCTCCGAAATCACACACATCAGACGACAGCTTCTTCATACAAGGTGAATGTATTACACGCCAACACCTGAAATACAAATGATCGAAGAAAAAAAAAATTCAAAAAAAATAAAAATAAAAAGGGAAGTGAAACGCACAAACAACAGGCAAAATCCCGTAGACCGACACCACCACCACATAGCTCATCACATATGCAACAAAACTGATCCGAATCAATATTTCCTGGGATCTAAACATTACAAAAATAGTACCAGAAGCCATAGAACTTCATATATTTAGTCGAGAGCATGGGAGCATTTCGAACAGAGAGGTCTTATCTACTGCTGTGAATCTAGCGCTGAAGCTGGCACTTGTAAAATGTACTGTGATTGGTGCAGTTCCCTTTCACCAACCACAGATTGGTGCAGTTCCCTTTCACCAACCACAGGCACCGCTCGCATGTGTCGTCTCATCAGCACTAATATGAGGAAAATAGGACAGAAAGTGACTTTTCCGCTTTTCACAGCGCGAAACTTCTTCGCTGCGGGACAGATACAATACTGAAGAGGAGTGGGCCCGGCGTTCTTGCCGGGAAAAGCTTCGAGCGCAGGAAGCGGAAAATTCGCTTTTTGTCCTAGCGAACCACACCCTGTTGACATCAACACTATTATCGAAATAAAGCATTGGATACATAACGAAAAAGTGTTGGCAGGATGTCTCACCCAGTCGTGTTGGAAACGTCCATTGTCGTCTGGTTTTTGCACCGTTTTACAAGTAATTTTAGCAGCAACACAACGAGCACATGAAACCTGTAAAGAGATTATGGAGCACTTTAGATTCCTATGAGAGGAAAAGAACAAAGAAGAAAAGAACATCTCGATAAATCACCTCATCTACTTTTAGAGTACAGTAATCACATTCGTAACCGGAGAGCAAATGAGTTTTACATGAGGCACAAAAGAATCCTCGGTCGACATAATTGACTCGTGTCCAGTAATGTCCACCTAAACATACAACATGGAAAACTGAGCGCATTATATAGGTCGGCCGATAGGAAAGTCGTTCACATTTGTGACATTGTTTCTATGTTAATCGTACCCACTCTCAATTCTTGAGTGGTCAATCGACAGTTTTCTGGCGCACACGGGCATATCTTACAATTAGACAGGGGATTGTCTCTAAAGTGAAAATTTTTCTTCAAAGGTTAGGTCTTATACGTCGCCTGTGTGCATATGGTGCGACTTCAAAAAAGGAACAACGATAAAAAATTCCAGCCTAAATTGTGCAATACATTCGACAGCGACGCTCATCTTTGAGCAGTTTTTGCTATGGGTTCAGCGTTTCTAAGGCCGATGTCAGACTTTGCGAATCGCGCGATTCGCTAGCGTCTGCGGTCGCGTCGCGGCCAGTGAATCACTCAATTGGCTGGTACCGCAACGCGACCGCGGACGCTAGCGAATCGTAGCGATTCGCAAAGTCTGACATCGGCCTAAAGCTCTTGAGAACTAAAAGCATGGATATTGGCCTGATGTGTAGAGAACGAAGAAGCAAAGAAAGCCATCGAATCGAGCAATTACAAAGTACACAAGAACCCGCGGAGTGTGATTGCGCCAATGGTGAAATTTTGAAGCATCTACGTGTGACTGAATGCTGGTGTCAGAGTCCACAGAAGTCACAAGTGCCCCGATCAACTTGCAAGGTGCTCTCCAATCCCGCCGCCATTTCTGCTTGATGGTGATGGCTGAATGACGACTGCTCATGATTCCACTTGTTTCATATTCAGTGTTTCAAATGTTCAAATGAGGCACTTGTGATTTCTGCGATTCACGCGACGTCGCGGCTTTGACACCAGCATAAGCCCTCCAGTGCGGAAAATGGGTTCACCGTTTCCTTGACTGCGAGCACTACAATGACCGTTTTCGTTTCGTGAAGCTCTGAAAGAGTTCCAGTATTACAGGTTGCAGTGCTAGAACTCTGTTCCAGAACTCCACGAAAAAATGGTTTTGGACTTCGCTGTAGCGTTTTTCTGTTAGCGTCATTGTAATCCCTTACAAGCGAAATCTGATTCATTGCGCGCCTTCCGATTTTTTCCTAAACCTTCAGAAAAAGCGGCGCAATGTGCCGATGTCAGAGTCTGCGATTGGAGCGATCCGGTCA